ACTACCTAGTCACATTTCATTAAAGACTGGTTATCAATAGCAGTTGCTGAGTCTTAAAGAACTGACCTCAACTTTAGTTATTTTCAGTTGTAAAGGTAACCTATAGCAAAAAAAAAAGGAATTCAGAGCTATAGTTATTCTACTTTTAAACTCTGAGTTTAGATACTTGTTTTCTTCTTCTGAAGAGCCTAGATAAAATTTGTGCAGAACCGTGAAGGAGGAAACCTCTTCCTACTCTTTACAAGCTTTGCTTCTCTACTGGCAAAATTCTAGAATTTGTCTGAAACATTCTAGCCCATTCTGATGCCCATTCTTATGTTTCAGAAGAGGATTGTACTTTGTTACCTAAAAAAGGAAAGGAGGATAGTGATGTGTAACAAAGAGATTAGCAATCTCTGAAAATGTTTGTATACAATGAGATCCTAGAAACCTTGTAGAAATCTTTCCTTTTGTACATATTTAGACTTGGCAAAGCCTATATTTCTTAATTCTTTGGATCTTGCCTATAAAATGGCATGGAAAATGGAAAATGTGCATTTTATTGAATAAGCTGCAGCATGGAAATACTTAAAATTAATTCAGCTCTGAGCCCAAGACCTTGCATATCTCCAAGGCTTCTGTAGACTCTGATATTCTATGCTATTGGAAGCTACAACCATATAATCTTTGGTCTCGCTGATCTATATGAGATTCTGGATGACACTGATATGCTACTATGAAAAATTAAAATGTCTGAAAGTGAAATTTTATGTCTAGTTAAGATGGCATTACTTCTGTCTTCATTGCTATTGCTTGAATCTTATTTACTTGGCATTGACAAAAAGATAAGTATATTCTCAGACTACTGCATTTTATTCCTTTTTGTCTAAGAAGTCACTGTGAGTATAAGACTTATTGAAGTATAATGCATACGGTACCTCAGTTCTGCATTGATACAAAAATTAATCTGAAAATTATGTAATAGTCACAATGGTTATTTTGAAGCAAAGTGATAAACACTATACTGAATAGGAAAGACTGGGGAATGGTAGGGTTGTGGGATTCTGGAACAAGATGCATAGTTATATTGTTAAAACTGATACAGTTTTCAGGAAATGGCTGAATGAACTCCTCATATTAAATAGCTAATATGAGATAAATTTGTGTTGTTTCCCATTTTTCATATAGCTCATAATGTTTAGTTTTTTTGAATAAATATTTGGATGGTGTCAGAGCTGTGTGAGTAAAAAACACAAAAAAGACTGTGGTATAATAAAGGTCTTGTTGATCAACAGAATCAAGTATGAAATGTTTTATTATTTGGGCTTTATGCATTAAAGATTCAACAAGAGTAGTGAACAATGCTTTAAGTTAATATTTGGATTTTTTCCAAAGAATCAGATTTTCCATCTTTGTTTTTTTTTTCTGAGAACTACACTTTTCCAACTAAGGCAAGGAAGAAAAAAATCAGGTGATTGCTTGCTTTCAAAAGGGATTTAGTATGACCTTAAAATCTGGTTTCCTCTGTGACTGTCTTGTAAAGTACTGCTAGGATAGTGGGTATAAATGTGCAGCACTCTGGGGCTCTTTAAAATAGATTTTGCAATCTGAGAATACTTAAAAGTGCTGTGTGAAAGCTGGTTTAGACCTGGCCTACGTGAGTGATCAAATAGAATACCCCGCAGTCTACTTGTTACTTACAGGTGACAAAGGGGTATTCAACACACACCTGTGATGCTCATTGGCTTTAATAAAGTGTTTAATAGCCAATCTGTTTGGCAGTAAAATTGCTGTTGTATCAAGGAAGGCGTAAAGGACTGGTGTGAAGTAACCTAACCGTTTGTTAACAGGATTAACACCTTATTTTAGCTGTGCCTCCACACACCTGTTACATGTCTCTCCCCTTCTTTTACAAAACACATTTCTTAAAATAGTGAAGAGCATACTTTAAGACCTCTTTTGAAACTCATAAATATCTTACATTAGCCTCTCTCTATTTCTGTTCAAGATACTGAAGCAACAACTAAAATAAGTTTGCATAATTCCTGAAAAACAACTGATTGAAAGTGGAATAACAACCCTCCTCAGCATGTGGTCTGATTTGTGTTCTTACATCCTTGACGGTGAACCTACAAACACAGATGCAATACAGTGTTATGTCATTTCCCTTTTTGAACAATTTAAGTATTGGTTCATTAGCTCCACAGTAATTATTTTCTTGAAATGTTTTACAAAAGTGTTTAAAGACATGGACTATGAATATTTCAGACAGGAAATAGTATGTATTATAAAATACAGAGGAGAAAGGAGCACCATGTTTTTACACTGAGCTTTACAGCTGTAGAAGGAGAATGAGTCTGATCTGAAAAGGTTCAGAAACCTCCACTCATATAATGAATAATGTTCCCTAATTTGGATTTTCTTAGAGAAACAAAGCACCTTCATAATTGGAGTTGTTTGTGTTTTAAACAAAATAATGTGCACAAAAATAGTTCTCAGTCATTTGCTTCAAATCTGTCTTTTAAACTTCAGCAGAAGGATATTTGACAAAAAATGCTTCTTTTTTCATTGTCAACTATGATGTACAGTGGCACACCCACTAGCCTCCAAATAAAAGTTGACTGCAGTTCTCCCTCTTTTAAAAGACTGTTAATGTATTGAACTCTAAGGTGCTGCAAACCATTGTCAGTCTTGTATCTCAACAGATACTTGGTCAAGCTATCAGAAACCTTTTCTGTACATTTAACAGTCCAGAAACCAGAATAGAAAATTAGTTTCATTCATTTTAAAATAAAATATCTGGTAGCCATTCAAGAACATAACCACAAACCAAAATGTTTGTTAAAAAATAGTAATATTGTCGGGTTGATACACTCATATATCAAACGGCCTATGTTAGAAAGCATTTAATTTCTTTTAGATGAAATTGTGCTTAGCTAGAGCATTTGTTTAAATAAAGTGTGCATAGATTCCTACTGTTAAAAGAGAATTACAAATGTTTAAAATCCCTCTATATTGTGCAAACATGTATGTACATAGGGCAGAGCTTTTATTAGATTGTGATAAGTGGTTGTATTTTCTGAAGTTTCTTGGAAAACATGAGGAAAGATCTGTTTTTTGCTGGTTAAGAAACTTTAAGAAGGCAGTGGCTGAGTTCTTAAGTGTCCTCTGAAATGCAAACATAAGTTGATTTTTTTGTTGTTAAAGAACATGGTAATACTGGTATATTACCTATACAAATGTTGCATCTTTTGGGAACTTTACAGCTTCAAAACTATTATCCATTGAAACAATTGTCAACAATGCATTTTTGTATCCAGTTTCTCTAAAAGTTAATATTTTTTCTACTCAAGTTAACAACATGGAAATTATAAAAGATTACTGTAAAAAATGCATCCTGTGTGTTGCTGATATTAGCTTTTGTTGTTCAGTGAATTAGCAATGTTATAAGATGAAACAAGTGAGAAATGAGATCTTAATAAATACTCCTTTGAATGTAAATCTACGATAGTAAGGAAACAAACCCAGCTTTTATTCACAATTTACTGGGAGATTAAGCCTTCATTTTTTTAAATCTTAGGGCATGTCTAGACCATATCCCAGTTTGAGTCTAACTTCAAAGCAAAGGATATACAAGCCTAATTATGCCATTGTAGTTAAGTCCTAGCAAAGCTGTACTCAGATCAGTTGCATTATAAATTGAGATAAAAAATCTCTTAATATCCTTAGAAGAATACATTATTTGGATTTAAATGTTAAATAGTTGTAGTCTACAATACTTATTGTTTTTAATGTCACACTATTTAAACCTTTAAGTACTTACTCTTAGGTTGCTTTGGTGAGTGAGTGCCTTGTGGTTGTCCATATACACATGTATTGGAATTTTCTGTTTTAACATTAATGCGTCATATCAAAGACATCATAAGTTAAAATGTTATGATATTTTTCTTAATAATTCTTTAAAAATAAAAAATGAATGTGAAGAATCATACAGCAATTTATTTATATAAAATGGATAGGCTGAAATCAGTCACATTTTGTCATTTTTATTTTTGCAAAAGGACATTTTAGTGATTATAAGCTTATAGATCCTTCCTGTTAATTTTTGAATTTTAATTACATGGTGCTGGGCATTCAAAAATAGGATTTCTGTGGTCATTCCACAATGTAAACTACCTTGTATTTAAACTTAACTGTCAAAAAGCAGAAAATATTTACATGTATTTTTCTTTGGTTTGCAAGTGATATACTCACTATGCAAAATCGGGTTACTTGCTCAGAAGGATTAAATAGCAGTTTTTACGTTCTATATAATACATAATTCCTAAGGGGAAATATCACATAGGGAACACTGAGGTGTACTGAGCAGTTGAGGAGTACAAAGGCGATCACAAAGGACAACTGTATCACCCTGCAGCTCACAAACTGGCTACCCATTAAAGCTAATCAGTGGTGAGCATGACCAGTACCTGGATGAGAGACCTCCTGGGAAAAGTAAGGTTGCTGCTAGAAGAAGTGTTAGTCACACCAGTAGGGAGTGCTTACCCTGCTGTTTGTGTGGAGCCTAATGCCACAGTTTAGTGATAGGGACACTATACAGTAAACAAAAGTACCATCCTTTGGCTGAGATGTAAAACTGATGTTCTGACTCTCTGTGGTAATTAAAAATCCCAAGGTGTTTCTTGAAAAGGGTGTAACCAAATTTTCCCCTGACCATTACCAAGCATGAGCTAATAATTCCCATCTATGAACTGGCTTCATCACTGTTCTCCTCTCCACTGAGAGCTGGTGTGTGGTGAGTGTACTGGTGCACTTTGGCTGCTGTTGCATCATCCAGGTGGGGCTACACCTTGATGGTGGTGGTGGGGGAGTCCCCATTACCTGTAAAATGCTTTGAGTGGAGTGTCCAAAAATGTACTATATAAATGTTTGGATTCTTATTATACAGTTATAAGGATGAAGCGGTGAATGTGTTTCTGTTCTGTATTGCTTAAGTGACATTGTCTGACATCTGGTTCCAGGTTTACAGACAGGACTGCAAAACGTTTGGGATGGTTGTCAAGATGCTGGTGGCTAAAGATCCTACTTTGGAAAAACAACTACAAACTCCTCTGAAAGAGAACCTTATCGAGATTCGAGAGCGCTGTCTAGAAGACCTTCAGCAATTTATCTCACAAATTGACGAGGAGATTCTGCAGCAACAGTGACTACTTGGTTGTATTGGTACGTGTGTCAGTATGATTTTTTTACTCCAGAGAAATTAAGAAACTCTATCCAGGGACAATATTTTGATAGGACAGTATCTGTCAAATATTTGGACTGACAGCAGTGGGTACAAAGCATGTGATATAATTTGGTATTACTTCATTAAGTGTGATTTTTATAACCAAGTCCTGTTTCAAAGCTAACAGAGGTATAACAGGCCTATGTCTAAAAGTAGTTAACTCCCTTTTAGGTATAATTATAACATTGAAATATATAACCATTTGTCACCGACAGTACACAAAATCTAGGCCCACTGAATGACATCCAACCCCTTAGGTAAAGCATGAATCATACTGAGTTTATATTCTAAAATGGGCTGTATGTATGCATTCTTTAGGATTTTACAATATGTTAAATCTATTACATATAATACAGTTTATCATTAAAAATGTAATTCAAAATGTAAAAATTCTAATCCAAAAAGTGCTTTATAGACCATTATAAAAAGTATTGCCATTTTTAAATGTCTGTATTACACTGTCTTCCTGAACCTTTCATTTTCTGTATTCATTTTGGGCAAAGAGAAAACCATGTCAGTGTTCTTTAAAAAAATAAATAGTTCATACTATATGATTTCATTTCTCATTATACTCCATGATCTCTTTTGTATTTCACGCACTGTAATAATACATGTTTACATACATTTGATGGGACTGTCAGGATTAAATATATTGTAAATCATTAATGAAACTTGTCTGGAAAAAAAATTAAAATGGTAATGATTTCAAGGCTGTGTAGAAAGGTTTTATTAAAGGTAAAAAAGTTTTATGGTAATGTTTTTCTTTAAGAGGGTAACATCAGAGACATTTCTACAGTGAGATTCTTGAGAGCTACAAAGGTTTTTATATAGTAATCAAATTATGTAGGAGTTATGTCCCTGAACCTGCTATGTAACCTGAATTTTACAGTCATATCTTCATATATTCATAGACATGGAGGATTTACAATTGAGACTAGCACCTATGCATTAGACAAATGATTCAATGTGTTTATACTGTAAATTAAAATTACAATATTATCTTTTACATTAAAAAAAACATTTAAAATACGCAAAAACATAATTGTTGCATTTTATAGTGGGTTGATACTTTGTGTAACAATATAGTCAGAACCTTTATTGTGTTGTTTGTGTTTTACTTCCCCGTGGGACCTACAACTATTGAGGGGAAATAACATCTAATAAGATGGGGCTGCTACATAAGTACGAGTACAAAGTAACTCAGTTACCACACGCATTTCAAATTATCTCAAAAGTGCTTAATTGAACACATCTCTTAACTGGTCAGTTTTGTTGCAAAGGCATAGAAATTATTGGTTTGATAGAGACCCATAAAATCTATTGGTCTGTGGCTCCTTGGGACCAGGGTTTGCAATCTGCAATACATGCCTTAGATATATAAGCTGATATATACCAGGTAGGTACGGTGTGACCTTCTTTCACTGGAACTGGAGATATGTGGGGAAATGGATACTGCAAGACCCAGAGGCTTATTTTGAAGCCTATTTATGCTAGCTTGCCGATGTCAGACTGAACCCTTAACACACCTCCTCAAGCAGAACACTCAAGTCCGCTCCTCTAAAGCAGTGGATAGATGCCTAAGGAAAAGAATTAAAAGGGCATTTGTTTTCAACTCATGACCCATTTCTGTTCTCTCAATCTGTAGTATAATATGTGATCTTAAAAAATATCAACACATTTAAATATAGTCTAAATCTTGAGCACAAATAGACTTGGAGAGCCAGCATGAAAAGCTAAGTTCAAATAGTCTTGTTTGCTTGTTATCTTGATTAATAAACAAAACCATTTAAAAGTAAATGTCTAAAATGCTAAGTGACTACTCAATTTTATTTAATCAGCAATTAAATTGATGAATTAATATAAAAAGTCCCAATACTACATTGCACCGACTTGAATAGGTTCATATCCATGTCTATAATTAATTACCTTTTATTACCTCCGTTTTTTTCCCATTTCTATTAAATGTAAAAAAGTGGTTGTCAAAAATCTGAACTTTACACAAAAAACAGTAAGAGACCCCAAATATTACTTTTCATTGGGTTTAAAAGACCAATTTCAGTTGTAATCAGGAGCCATTAATTACAGGACATAGATCTGTATAGATCAGCAAAATAATTTATAATTTTAAAGACATTTTAAATTGTTTAAGATGTAAATGACATTTAAATGCAAGGGCATAGCTTTTAATTCTTAAAAGCTTCATTATTGTGTAGTTAACTTGAATTAGTTTGACAGCATTAAATTAATAATAACTCCCTTTTATGTTAATTTTCATATCCATGTTGATACTTCAAACATCCATCAGACAAACTCGTACGCGAGTTTTTGAAATGAAATGTGAAAACGTACGGGAGGTCATCTTTAGAGAACCTAACATTTTGCCCAAACTAATACTTGCATGACCATTTTAGTGTTCTTCTAATGATGCAGGCAATTCTGTAAAGACATCCAACTCTGAGTTTTACCAGTTCAATATGAAATTTCTTACTGTAAATATTTATAGAGCTTTTTAAGTCACATGAAACTGAGATGTTATTTCAACAAATGAAAAAATCAAAAATTGAATTATCATGTCAGTTTTTATTGTCTTTAGCCATGTGTTCCAGTTTTTACATCTATACAGAATACATTGATTTGTTTACAACATAATATGACCCATAAATAAAATAATGCAATCTAGCAAAGCAGTTAATGCAGAGGTGTGGATGAATGTCCCCATCACATACTCAGGTAACCTAATACCAAAAGAAGCAGTTAAAATGTAAATAGCAAGAGTCAATATACACCATTGCTGGCATCACATTACGCTTTTAATTTTTAAAACCCTGATTGACAAAAGTGGAGTTCTTCCTATCTAAGAATGCAGCTGGCTGCACTTATAATGCTATTTCTTAACAACAAAACATAAAAATGTCTTTTGAAACTCAGGGATATAAAAATATCAGTTTTAAAATCTTAACTTTACAATATATACATTAATATTTGCACCATTAAATTATGATAACAGTTAGTTTCTAAATGCTACATCATAAATACACGTTTTGGGGGAAATTACTATTATGCTGCCATTTGTAATTCATACACTAAACCTGCATCACTGTGATGGTATGTGACTTTAACCTTATCTATATCCTTGGATAAACTAATTAGGACATTTTGACCCAAATTGTGAGTATATTGAATTGTCATCTACTAGTTTTTCATGGCTTTCCACTGCAATACTAATCCACTTAGAAGCTTAAGCAATGAGTGTAAACATGATCACACAAAAGAGCAGAGCTACTTTGTAAACAATGTGCCAAATCTTATCATCAGCAAGTTACAACTGAAAAAAGACCTCCTTGATATTCAATCAGATTCAACTGAAATGTAACAAATGCAAGAAGTTCACAAGAATAAGTGTTGAACTGGATGGATTTATAAGCCTAGGAAATTATGCAATTTTTGCCCTTATGCCCTTTTTTCTTTTTTGATTTAGTTGTCCTTGGCCCGAATGGGGGCGAAGGTAATGCTGATGTAGGACTTGAAAGGTCATCTGTGTAATAATGGTATCTTTGCTGTCTGGGTTGAGGGATAGGTTGACCAAGAAAATACCCCTCTTCTTCTGAATCTGAAGAAGAAGAGGAGCAGGTTGAACACCAGGAGTCTTCATCACCATACAGGCCAAGGAATTTATCCACCACCTGGTTCTGCAGTGCGTAGTCTGATGTAGCATGGGAGTACTGTCCGTACATCTCCTGGTTGGGCAAATAGGCATGCAGGTCTTGAGGACACTTAGCTTGCCCAAGCTTCTCATAATCTTCATGGAAGTAATTGCGAGCCCTGTCCTTTGGATAGCATTTCCGGTCTGTGGCTAGGTGTAGTGCATTGTCTGAACGGGACTTTCGGCTCCTGCGCCGTCGGTGGTGGTGGTGGTGATGATGACGAGGATGCTGGCTCTGCTCCTCAAAATGATAAACCCGTCGGCGAGTCCTTTCACTCATTGGGGGCTGGCGAACCTCTAGGTCCTCATACTGTCCATTGTCGATGACATCATCAGAAAACTTCACCTGCTGTGGCCTGGAGTGTGACTTGGACCTCCGTAACACTGGCATGTGGATTGGCTTGGGTTTTTCTTCTGGAAGGCATGCCTCCTCTTCTTCTTCCTCTTCCTCCTCCTCCTCCTCTTCTTCTTCTTCTTGCTCCAGCTCTGAAGTCAGGCTTTTCAAGGAATTGGCACTCCTGTGGAGCATTGAAGAATTCAATGTCCCCATGTTGCTCATTTTCTCACAATCCTCTGTTTCAAGCTCTTGGAAATTCTGTAGTGAGTATAAGGATGGCCTCTGCTTACTTTCCCCATCAACCGAAGCCCCTGTAGAACAAGAAGTGTTCAGAATTAATTTTGCTTTTCAAGACAGTGCATTGTTACAAAATATACAGTTACAGAAACTGCAAATTGTAAAGAATTAAAATATATAAAATATTATCTTGGTAAATACAATGCAATTGCCATTAAAATATAAGATTGTATATTGCAATTGGCCTCAAAATACATACAGTTATTAGTGTTGTTAATGCTTTTATCCAAATTAACTAGCATATGAATCCAACCCATTTATTTGGTTTCAATATCAACTGTATGCATTATTTAAAAATGTACAGACAAAATTATTTTAACTGGTGATGACAAAAAAAATGACATTTTTAACTAAAAATGATAAACCATTAAAAAAAGCTAATGTTTTCAAGCTGTTCTGTTATTTTGAATGAACTTGGGAGAAAGAAATCACAAAGATGCATGCAGTTATCCAATTACAATTAATATTCCAAAGATTATTTTCCCATTTATTCTGAAACATAACATGGTACATAACACACAATATCCATTAGTCAGACTGTCTCATTGCATAAATGGTTTAGTTAATTTCTGTAAATAGATATCTAAATCCAGATCTTTACCAGTGATATTGGAGAGTGCTAAAGAATCCATGGAATCCCTCACACACTGCTCTGGATGCTTCAGTTCATCAGTGATGCAGTCTAGGGAGCCATCATACCACTGCTTCTGCTCATGCTTATAACTAGCAGCACCATGATCCATCTCAAGCTCTTGAATCTTTCTGCTGCTAGCTGGTCCTGGGTGGCTACCATAAGCTGAATCCCCCAAGCCATCCTGTGATTGAACCCAATACATATCTGACTGATACTTCTTGCTGGCCAGACTTTGTATATTTCCACTAGCTTTTAATTCAGACTTAAGTTTCCCCTCTGTGTCAGACATCCAGAGTTCTGCTGCTCTTGTGTCCTCTGACTGTTGGAAGATACTACGATCCCCAAACTTTAGAAGCAGTTGTGTCATGTAGTCCTCATGTTCTACCCATTCTTCATGGTCCTCTGGTGGCTCTTGCTCCTCCCGATTCTTCCAAAAGTGATCAGGAAAACTAGCTTCCTGCTGAGACAGACTGAGGTCACCCAGTTTGCGAGACAAGGTATCATCCGCATTGCCTGAAAAGCCAGGGAACTTGTAGTTAACAGCAGGGGAGAACAACAATGACTGACGACACTGGTCAGCAGACCTGCTGCTTTTTCCCATCCGTACACTACGTCGGGATTCCCTTGATCTTGCTGACTGAAAGGCAGAATCTGAGGAGTCTGAGGCATGAATGTCTTCATCCAGGCTGCAGGCTTTGGAACAGTATATCCTTCCTTGTTTAGGTAGAAATGGACAACCTAACAAGGAGGTCTTGCATTGGGCACAGCAGAAACAAGTCTCGGTAGCATGCCAGTGTAGGCCATCATAAGTCATCTGAGCATGGTCCACTCCTGCATAAGAAAATGAGAAGAAGCAATGCTTAGCTTCCTTTTTATTGAGCATACATGAGTTATCAATTGTGTGACAACAATGAGAGCAAAAGACTTACCAATGTGTTCTCCACATGCCTCACAGTACTCCGCATAAAGAGATTCAAAGCAGCCACAGCAATATGGACGCCCATCTTTCATGATGTACCTTTGTCCACCCAGTACAGTCTCGCATTCAAAGCAGGAGAAGTGCTTCATGTGCCAATGCCGACCTTCAGCCTCTGTGCACTCATCAGCAAAGATAATCTAGAAAGCCAGAACACCTCAATTACTTTTTTTTATCTCAAAAGTATTCACTGAAATAGCATTATATGTAGCTTAAAACATGTCAGACACAGCACAAATTATTTTTCACTGTTTTTGGTCAAAACTATAACTGAGGTAAAAGAAAAAAAGGTAAATCAGTTATATAGTATATTCCATTAATGCACTTACAATAATGCTTTCTGAACAAAATATTAGTCAACATTTATTATGAAATGCTTGCCAACACTAGACCTTAGAAAGATGTGGTCTGATCATCACTGCATACAAATGAAACACTTGCTGTAGGAAAATAATGCCTGCAGCAAACACAAAGCAACAGTTGCCATGTCTGTATTTTTTTAGTTTAATGATAGAAAACACACTACAATAAAAACCCATTTACACGTGATGACAGGATAGTATAGATATAGATATAATTTGTCTCACCTCATCACAAGCAGAGCAGCGGGGTTTCAGGAGCTCGGCATGATGCCTGCCACAGTGAATTTTGCCATCCTGGTAGAAGTAGATGAGGTCAACCAAGAGCTCGTTGCAAGTCGAACAAACAAAGCATGCTGGGTGCCAACACAATCCAGAGCCTGCCCTCGATGCAAACACTGCAATTTCTCCTCCATTGATGTTTTCTCCACACTTTAAAAAAAGGAAACATTAAGAGATGTTTAACCACACATTAAACAACATTAAAAATATATAAGTGTTGACGTTTTCAGAGCTGTAAGAGTGAAGAGCATCAACTGTCTCATCCTTAGAAATTCAATGATTTCTTATTTGATTTGTTTTCATTCATATTTGCCCACTGTATTGTTATATTGATAGTACTGCCAAAATACATTTCAATGCACAGAACAATGCACAGTTGTTCTCCATTACAGGCTTGTACAGCTTCAACTCCATGAATGTGGGTATCATACACCATGGAGAAATTCTGCAATCAAAACTATGACATTCCCCTTTAATTCTGTTCTGATATCCTACATCTGTTAACTGAAGAAATTACAACCACAAGCCCCACACTTTTTCAGTTGCACAGGTCTCTTTTTAAACATTCCATGGTGAGAGACAAATACTCTCACTGTTACTTTCCCAAAGTGGTCAGCTTTAAGATGGAAATAAAAGACAGTGAAGCAGAAAGAAAAATATCAGCTTAGGCTAGAGTTAATCAGAAAATGAAGGCCATATGAAGAGAAGCTGCCTAGATGTGTTTTGACAGGATTCAGTGGCTTTCCGGAGGCAACTTGTGACCAATGTATACACACTGCAGGCACATTACCGTGTCTGTAATGCAAATATATTAAAACTTATCAAATTTAAAGGTCGTCTATTTTAGACCTCTATTCTACATGGACTGCTTTAAAAAGCAGATGTCTCCTAATTCTTATGTTTTTACTGCCCTAGGTCTTGAAAATGGTTGCTTAATGGTTTAATAGATCATTAATGGAAAATGTATAGACAAAGAAAATGATAGAGAATCCAGAAAGACCTAAAGAAGTACAGAGAATACGCTAAGGTACACACAGTTAAAAGGATAACGGAAAAGCCAGGAATATTATTCATAAGTATAATTATGGGATCCATAATCAATGCTAATAGCATTTTAAAACGTAACAATAGTGAAACAAAATCAGTCAAGTGTCTTGAAGATATAAATACTTAGGTCTGTTTCTGAAGTTGAGCAGGAAATGGTGTAAGTTTTCAAAGATTATTTTATTCAGGTATTCTCAAAGGAATAAATAACATACCGCGTTAAAAATAAAAACCCAGTTCCACTTGGTTCCAAACAATTTCATCACATTGAAGAATGAGCTGTTAAAAGGCCTAGCATAACTTCAATCAAACAAACTTCTAGACCAGACACATTCACAGACTCCTCACTAAGATATTTCAATCGATTTTTAGGGGAGGAGATGCATCTACTGTTGGGTAAATTGCAAATATAATGTCAAATACATTTGTAAAGAGGTCACAGCTGGGGATATTATAGACCAACCACATTTATCTCAATTACATTTAAAGTTTTGGTGAAGTTTGAGAGATAGTTAAGTACAATCCATCTCTTCTAGGTCCATAACTAGAATTCTGTGAGCAAGTAGCTACTGTTGTGGTAGATTACATCAGAGTTATGACTTGGTACCTTCGGACTTAATACCTTCGGATATAAAGTACCACATGAAACACTAATCCTAAAGCTGAAGCAAAAAAAATTCCAAATGAATGCATGCACCAGTGTTGCCAGATCTTTGTTCAGAAATTCTGTCATTTATTCACTGTTTTCTGGACTAGTTTAAACTATTTTGGAAAGCACAGTAAAATACATTAAGTACATTATCCATGTCATATGTTTTGGATAATCAGAAAATCACAAACAGTGCTGGAATAACATATGACAACAGCTGCAGCCTTAAGGCTTTAAACAGGTCAACACTCAGGACTTCAAGATCAGCAGCAACACTAGGACTCAGGAACAGGAGTGAAAAGTTTGGAATCAAGACCAGATATTTACACAGAGGTTTATGGGAGTCTGAAACCTAAGTCTGATGAGTAGTTGAAGCTAGCTTGGTGGGATCATTTACTAAACAAGTGGATGATTTTTTGTATCTTATTTAGCAACCAAATAAGCAAGATCAGATTATCTCCTCATGATATCATAATATTGGTAAAGTGTTGTAAGAGAAATATGAAAATGTTACCTAAATGTACTTGACCAAATGAAAATGTTACCTAAATGTACTTGACCAAATGCTAATGTGAGGGTTGCAACAATAAACCTTATGATCAGCTGGTACAATTGCAGGTAAATCTGACAATTTATTAGGAAAAAGGAAATACACACCTGGTCACAGATTGTGTGCATCAGTGCTCTTGGTAGCATTTTAATGGTGCCTCGCCCCAGTGCTTCTTTCTTGCGCTGCATACTAAACATCTGTAGTTCTTTCTTTTCTTCTTCACTGAGGGACTGGCAGTATCTTATCTAAAAGTGGAGGTAAACACAATATATTACACTTGAACACTGCAAAATGTGTCATTGGAGCACGACTTATATAGGCACCCACATGAAGGATTTATGGAGATGCTGGCACAAAAAAAAGCGCATTTCAAACCAATTCTACACCTTCACAACAGGACATTTGCACAAACAAAAAACAATATTAAAAGAAGTGTTTGAAGTGTTTTCATTCAGAATAATGTATTTTAGGCACAAAAACCACACTACACTATTACATTCTAACATAGTTGAATGTGCATTTTAGAGGAATATTCTCAAGTATTTCACACACAATCATGCTAGGAATGCTAGGAAGCACGTTTCATAGGGATTGGCTACAAACATCATAAAAGCATCTTGTCAAAAGTATTATTGTACCGACTCCCACTATTAGAGCAAGAAACAATGATGCTCTCTGTTACAGCACTACACATTTCCCCACATAATCTCTCATAGAAAAACGTAAGCACAGCAACACAGTACTACTGGCACATCACCTTTAGAAACAGGATTTAAACCATTAAATGAATTGGACATCCAGACTTATCTCTTAAGATTCGTCTTGTAGAAACCTATTTAAACAGAGTGCCTGCGGAGGTTTTTGCTTGCTTCTTTTTGTCTAGCATTTGCTTTGGTCTTACTTCATTATCATGAGGTGGCAGTTGGTACAGGAGTTGCTTGATACGGAATTTCTCTCCAGGGCTGTTAATATAAGGAACTTTTTCCTCAGGTAGGCAGGAAAAATACAACTGCACCTACATAAGAGAAAGAAACAGATAAAAAGTTTACTGGTATGTTAAAAAAAAGTTTAACAATGGCAAAAGTTCGTTTCCGTGAATTTTGTGGGAGTGTTCACATCATTAAGTTGCTTCCATTATGACAAGAGCCACAAATGGTGAATAGCACACTATTGGCATTTTGAACAGGATGCTACTGTTTTAACTGCTGTAATGCCACATTAACCATAAAGGCCCATGACAGATTTTATGAGCTTTAGCCATTAGAGTGACCAGATAAGGGAAAGCAGTGGACTTGCATTGTACCTGATATAACAAGCACCCAGTTGTTGAACTCATCTTGTGGAATGCATTTTAAACTCACAATTGTGGTGGCAGTGGTGGGGGAAGAGTGTGAAAAGCGGCGTCATAAATTATGCACATTTAATGCTGCTATTAGCTCCACCTTCCCCCTCTCAAGCTGGACAACAAGGTGGCTAAAATTCTATGTTTCACACTGCAATTACTGCACCTGATGCGGAGGGAGATAGCTGCTATAAACAAATTAAATTTGCCTCATGTGTTTTACACTTTGGGAGGACAAAAGCAGTGTGTTTGGTTTTAGTGGTCTCCTGTTGATCTGACCCATCCCCTGTATCAGTCTTCATTGCTTCCATGTGTGCATTTACAGAGAAATTGGACTCCCCCCACCTCACTTTAGGAAAGTTCAACATCTCCTCCAGACACAAAGTTAATTCTGTTTACCGATTGTAAAAAGGCCCAACAATTTATTGTTACAAACCTTGTTTGCTAGGGGCACTTGTCAATAATCACTTGCACACTACAATGAGAGTGTCATTAAAATATACATTTGCTGTAGCTAAAAGGCTCTCCAGCTGGCGGACAAAAAATAAGGATAAAAATACAAGTCTGATTTACCTGGTCTGATTTACCAACTCATTAAAAATTACAAACAAAACCTACAAAAGGATTTTGCATTAAAAGAATAAGCTTGAAATTCAAATGCAAATATGTATTCAAGTCAAAAATGCTGCAATTCTAATGCTTCTCGATATACATTCATATATATTTTCTAAAAACCTTTTATAGAAGAATGTTATTTGCATTTACTTTTCCAATCTGCATTTGATAGGGAAAATTGCTGCTATATTTTAAAATTATTATCCCAAGTACTTCTCGGATTTTTATCAAGGATTTACAATGGGTGACTGAACATGCTTACTCTGAGCATATTATGTGCTGTGAAGTGTATGTCAAGTTAGAACTATTGCATAAGGTTAAAAAAATAAAATAAATAAATCAAACAATGGGAATGATTTACAGACAGGAAGAAAATCTTATTTGCCAATTGTTTATTATAGTTAATAATTACAAACAATATAGACAAAGCTAGAGTGGCCATAGAAGTGTTTTCAGTCAATCTTGAAATTGATATAAAAATTGTAATACAATGCAATAGTTTTCTTTGTTCTAGCCTAAGGTCAGGAAGAACTAAAAAATATTATAAAGCACACCACAAAAATAAATGGAAAGTTGTTACTAAACTTTTTTTCCTCTCCCTTTACAGGAAAGCCTTAGTGAACTTAGGTCTTTTTTCAACAAGAGAAACACCTGGATCATGTAAAACATAAGACTCTAGAAAACAATGAGAACAATGTTGTTGTAGACCAAAGCTTTATTTTCAAGACTGAAGGAATGATGTGGGCTTTTACATTTTTCTGCTAACATCACCACCTGGTTAGCTTCTTTTTAACTGGGGAAAAAACACCCAATGCAAATTAAAATTACTCTGCTTCACCTTATATTTGAAAACCACCGCATGTTCCTTTTCTTCATATACCGATAGTCTCTAAGCGGGATGATAAAAACATTTTCAAAGTCTGATGACAGATCTATTACAGAAAAGCTACAGAAGTCAGCCTCATTGTGTTCTGTGTCCTCTTCCCAACACCTAATAAATTCTGTTTTCCCAAGCAGCTATATACAAGTATAACCAAAGGCAAGATCTACCTACTCTTAAATTAATAAGGTCAGGGCCCACTTTCAAGGCTACAGTAAATTTTGAATGTTAAACTGAAGTTAAAACCCCAAAGCTTGGTATTCTACTGTTACCTAACTCAGCTAAAGGTTAAGAGCTTGACCTTCAGCTGTGCCAATTAGGCTAACTTCTAAAGTCCCCTCTAGGTATGTCATGAACTTTTAAATCTATGGATCTGGTGGCGTTACTGCTCATTTCAACACACACTTCAATGTACAACGGAATCTATTTGTTTTTTGTAAGATGTCAACACCCTGTCAGATAGTTTTAAATGAGAGAATTTGTTTACATGTCTAAAGGTGGTAGTATTAATCCATTAAGTATAATCTGAAATCTTTTTTTTCTCTGATCATATCTGATTTTCTCCACGGTTAGAACCTCAAATTACTGCATGAACAAGATACATTCCTATTCATACAGGGTATACCTTACACCCTGCTGGTCTTCAGAGTTAACACTTGATAACAGCTATTCTGGAGCTGACATTATCTTGTTTTCTCACTACATTAAGTTCAATAATTGTGATGACTCAAGGCTGCCGGTTACCAAAGAGACCTGCAGCAGTATCTCTTTTAAAAAAGGTAAATGGAGCAAAGCACCAAGAACCTGCTTAACGTCCACAGTGATTTTTGGATTCATTAAATGGATGTAATGTAGGTGAACATGAGGGTAGGAGATACAGTATTTGAAACAAATATTATAGATTGTAAAATAATAAAATAGGAAACACTTTTCACTATATCATTTAACAAAACTACAGGTTTTGTGTGCCTTTATTTGATTGATCATGTTATGAATCTTACATGGAGCCTAGACAACTAGTTCTATATTTCAATGATTATTTCATTTTAAGTGAATTCCAGTATTTTGTTATATCTTTTAGTTTTGTGATGCTTTTTTGAATAAATATTGCCTGTTTTAAGAGAAGGTTTTGGAGTATCTGCAGGGTAAAATTGTGAAATACTGGTTAGGCTCTGGACTCATAACTAGGCAGCATGTTCAAACTGTGGGTTGTTACCTTGAGCAAGGCACTTAAGAGTGCTCCAGTAAAATGAAAAATGAGAACAAATGTAAATTACTTTGGATTAAGCATCAGACAAATAATTACAACAATGCTTGAAGAATCTATGAAGACAATTGTCTAATCTGACATTTTTTTTCTCCTTCACAATGTGGGGAAACAATAGAATGATAGGACACAAAATTGTGGAAATTTGATTTAAAAAATGTTATCAAAATTGTACAGTGCATTAATCTTACCATTTAGAAAAAAGGTAGTTTTGCAGAACATTATTTTCACTCCATTAAACTCTTTGACATTTCTGTGATTCAAAATATTACAACACCATCCACAAATTAAATTAGGATGAATGAATGGTAAGCATGGTGTACAGCTAATAGGTACACAATTAAATAGATAAGGAAATGATCTTACTTGTTCCGGCCTTAGGCCAGGAGGAACCCAGGCATATTCTTCCAAAGCACACCCCGAATCGTCGTCAGATGTTGAGCTGCGCTGGAAGCCAAAGGTAAGTTTGCCTACTTGCTGCTCCATCTCTAATGGCAAAGCTCCTTGTTGATAAGTGATGGGGTTGTCAAAATTCATGAAGGAGAGATTCTGTTCACAAACAAAAAGATGCCACCTATTAGAAAACAGAACACCAAGCCATCAGAAATGTGATTATGAGCTCATCTTTTCATTACCATAGTCAAATATTTTATGTGAATTGTTCAAGAAACATTTCCAGAACCCCAATATGTATCTTATCAATAAATTACTCATCTCTCTTGCTGACTGGAAAGAGCAAATATATCCAAGAATACGTGATTTTCAGTAGCACTTTAAATTGTCTAAGTGAGATTTGCCTTAGGTTTCTAGGCAACCTTCCTGTTCTTATGGAGATAATTTGCCTATAAAAAGACACAACAAAAAAGCTGAAGCGACTGCTGCAGTTTTACTGTTTCACTGCCAGTCTCAGTGTATATCACCAAATGCATATGTTCATCTTCACAATCAAATTAATGTGTGAGTTATAACAGATTTCTATGGTCCATGATAATGTGTTACCTTTGAAAAAATTGTTGAATACCTAAGTAATCTGTTTTATCATAGTGGATGGGTAATAAAACAAATCATTTTGTGTCCTTGCTAATATTTTAATAAGCAGAGTTGACAATGCCAAATAAACAGGTTATTAGATAGTGACCTAAAAGCACAAGACTTCTTGTGTTCTAAGAACATGTTTAAAATTGTTTAATGAGAATACATTTTCCATTTCAAATCTTTATATTTTCATTGTGATTGGGATATGGAGTAATACGGTACAATACCCTTATTATAACATTTTAAAACCATTTTTATTAAATAAGCTTAAATATGTACAACTGAACAACAACAATAACAGCCTTGTGATCCTCACTTTCTGTAATATTTTAATAAGGAAGTAAATTTCAGAAGCAAACCTTTGGCTGATGGGTAGAAATTCAAAACAGAATATTTAACAGTTACTATGTGATTTGAAACCTTTGTGTTTTTGAATTGGAAATTCAATCATATAAAGAAATACAGTAAACAATATTGCCTGAAGACTAGAAGGCCCTTGATTAATGAGCTACATAATATGATATTTAGACATAATGTATGAAAGGCTGGTTGTGCCATCACACAGAAAGGGTAGAGATTAGTCCATAATGTTTTGCTAAGGAATACATAGTCTTAACAGCTATTAGTCTTGGATTTTGCATAACTGTTCTAGATTCACAATGACTACTTAGAACATATTTCTGTATATGTAAATACAAGTCTCATATGCAAAACTTTAAAAGGTTTTTCTTGATTAAAAACTTGCTGATTATACACAAAATCTACAGTTCCTTCTTTCATTAAAATGTAGTCAGCATATTGTTCTTACACAGAAGTTTGAAGTTGATATTAAAGCTAACGGAAACATTTGATTATATACACCTACGATTTAAGAAAAAAAAATCTCTTGGATTTTAAACATACCATTATTTTTATACATGACAAATGCATCAAATAAAACTGACTGAAAATCACTTCAGTTGTTCTGAACCACTGAAGCATCAACAACAAAAGTGATATAAATGTTAGACATACAAGTTCTGACACAAAAGCAGGCAAGACCTACTCAACTGTCGTATAGTAAACATTACTTAGAAAACTATTCGATTATAGAATAATGTGAGCCTAAAATGCGCAACCATGACAACTCTTCTACCAACATCATTAAGCCAAGTCACAGATGTTTATTGGTTTTGCAAATTTTTCTAAGTTGCACAGATACCAAACATTTCTCAGGCAGTGTAACATGGGAGCTTATGGAATAAATATCCCCACAGCAATGTCACATTCTGATCCCTGTCTGCAGTAAAAAGTTCAAACCACTACATAATAGTGAACTTGATAAAGCAGGAATTAGTGTATACTTGAACTAACAAGGGGTTCTCCCTTCCATTGCTGAAGTAAAATGTGTGATAGCACTGTATGCAAGTACTCATTAAGATTTTCCCACAATGTGTTCTCCCTTCTGTTGCTGAATCAGTGTGTGATAGATAGCAGGTCGAGTGAAAAGGGATGCTTTTGCAGTTGTGTCCATTTCTCATGAGATGAGATGAGATGAGATGAAGCTCTTAAGAGAGGCCCTTCAGAGGGGCCAAGACAGTGTCCAGCAGCCACAATCAACAGCAAGAACACAGCTGAGAAAACCTACCAACCCCATGCGCTGACTTTGAAGAGCAGCCAGCCTGATGGGTTTCAACTGAAATCCAGCTTCTGGAGGTTTTTTCACACAAGGCCACTTTTGAAGTGTCAGCTGCAGTTTCTTGTTTAATGACTTTTTCTTTGTCAGATAGCCTTACATTGCCTTTGACATGTTGGCAATGATTAACCATTCCTTAGACAGCAGCTACAGGCTATTCATAAAACTGGGCACTGAAGTCAGATAGCAGATACTTGTTACATGTGACGTGTGAAAGGCATGTCTACTGTATTCAACTGCAAAGGTGTGAAATTTAGCAGATTTCTACTGATCATTCATATTGTTATATACTAGATTTTAGTATTCCAGGTTTGAAATAGCCTATATTCTCTTTTTAGTTCTTCTCAATATTTGCATATCTAATCTCCATTAACTGTTCTGATAATTACAGCAACAGAATTAAATATCTTTGGCCTTTTTATCTAAAAGGATTAGTGTTATCTTTGCCTTCTTTTACAGTCCTTTTGTCCATGATAGCTAACCTTTAGTCATTCCATTACAGAAAAAAAAACAAAAAAAAGTATTTTATTGGTATTAATTCACTTATCAGTCTACAATAGCTCATGCAATTTCCTTCCCTGGGTTTTAAAAGAAGGAGCCAATATGTTCGGGCTTTTCATCATTATCTTTAGTTCTGTATACAATGTGTTGTGCAAAAATGGAAATGGAAAGAACAAGGAATGAAAGCTAAAGAATAAGCCTTATCATAACCCATTCATCCATCCATTTGCTAACTGCTTGAATAGGCCAGTCCATCATGGAGCACACAAAGACACCTAAGAGGGGCACCATGATGGCGCACTGGCTAGCTTTGCTGCCTCGCAGCACTGGGGTCCTGTGTTTAATTCCATACCTGAGGCACTAATGTACATGGAATTTGTACTTTCTCCCTGTGTTTGTGTGGGCTTTTGCCAGGTGCTCTGGTTTCTTACTGCAGTCCAAAGACATCATGCTGGTGGATTAATTGGCTCTAGGTGTGAGTGTGTTAGTGTCTGAGTGTGCCCTGTGATGGACTGGCTTCCCATCAAGGGTGTATCCTGCCTTACGCATGTTGCTTGCCAGGATAATTTCCAGTCCCCCTTGACCCTGAATTGAGCTATGCACAATCACCTGATTTGCATATTGTGTTTCCTGAATGCATCTAAAACAGCCAGTGTTGTGGCCAGTTTGGATGGAATTTATAAGACAGGAGGATAAAAATTAATTGATTAAAATGGAAAAACTTTCATTAAATTCATCATGGGTTTTCTAACCTTTTTTGAAAATTTACTTTTTTCACGACTGTCAATTGAACTCTTGAGTGATATGAGTATGGGAAATGTAAGAATTACCAACTGACAAATTAGTTCAATAGCAAATTGTAAATACATAAACCTAATAGAGAAATACAAGTACAGATTTTGGTTTCATAATTATACGGAAAGGTTTAAAACACTGGGACTAACCCACTTGTTTAATTCTCACTCTGTAATTTCCTTCTTGAACTGAAATGAAGAAATGCTTTGCTAATTTTGCCAGGTAATACCTTTGTGCTCTTAAGATCATTTCCTAAGATACCGCGGGCAATCTGCACTTTTTTGGAGATTGAAACAAGATTAGGGACGTCCTGCTAATAAAACCTAAACATATCTCCTTGGCTATTTTCACGTCCATTGAGCTTCAAATCCTGTAAAGTCACCAATGAGCAAGTACAAGAGGTCATGGACTGTATGGTCAGTTCCTGAACACCCCCACACCCTTACCACCTCCTGCTGTTCTGCAGACCCCTGTGGGGCAAATTGTTTAACAACCTCTCTTTTGTAAAACCGCTTGTTAACATGGCTTTGGGGAATACAAGATGCATATCACACAAATCCAACTACAATGTGATTGTAGCCTGAAGCCAGTGGTGCTGGGAATGACAGGTGATCAGGTGATCAGGCTCAACTATTGAGTTGTATTGTAATTCAGCATCAAACAATGGCAACAGTTCAACAAAGGTATGAGACATGAATTCAGAGACTTACAGGACTTTGCACTTAGTTTATAACCTGCAGGCCTCCATAACACTTGCTTCTGTCTTTGATAATTAAACGTAAGCCACATAAGAAAACAAAAAGGGATTATTTCTTGAGACATAACAGACAATCTTCCACAAGGCAACTGAGACGAATGCCTAATTTCATACTAATTTCATGTCAATCACCTGTATCGCATATTGTGTTTTCTGAACGATTATAAAATTCCTGTTTTAAAATTGATAATGCACCCAAAACAGCCAGTGTTTTGGCAAGTTTAAATGTTTGCCATAACACCTCAGTTCACTAGCACACGATCAGGGTACTATTAAGGATGTTTGTAGTCAACAAAATAAAATAACTGATTCCAGTTATTTTATTTTGTTGACTACAACATCCTTAATAATGCACAAATACAGTATTAGCTTGCGGATAAAAACACATCACAGGGAAAGATAAAAGAGGCAATTGTCTTCTTCCAAAGAAAAATCACCAGCATTTGTTTATAGCTGAAAAATGAGATAGGTCCATGACAGAGGTCAGAGAAATGGTCAGTGCCTAATTAAATTAATAGCGTGTCCACCTTTAGTAGGGATGCCATGATTATATCACAAAGCATGAACCATTGCACTGTCAATTTCACCCATGAAGGGATAGATTTCAAGCACATGAAGACATGCTGCAATTGCGTAGTGCTAAAATGTAACCCCAGGAAAGAAAAGGTCATAAGACAATATTTCCTTATTTGAATGCCCAATCTATACCAAAATAATAAAAAAACAGGCAGAAAAACTCTCAGATTTCATTTTTGGTATAATATATATCTTTTTCCTGTACAAAAA